TTACAGTATCTAACTTTGCATACATTGGAGTCACTTCCAGAATGCTTGCAAACAGGTTGGCCAAACACCAAGAGAAACATAATAGATGTACTACCAATACAATAGTATCAATAAATTTATACTTTTTAAAATAATTTTACATTTAGCTGATATTTATGAACATATGATTTTATAGATAAAAAAGATACAACTTTCAGAAATGCAAAACACTAAATTTAATTTTTTTATGAAAGCATTTCTGTCAAAGGAATGTGTAAACTTAGCACTATATTCAAATATCAAGACAATAATTGCTAAGTTAAGGTAACAAAAATATTCTTTTTATGATTTAGTTCAGCAGCAGCACAAATAAAATATAAACTTTATATAAAAACAAAATATAAAATTAAATTTTGATATTTGGAATGATTCATATTTGAATTTTAAATTGAATTTAAAATATTGAAAACACATTTAGATTTATAAATTTATGAATTTTTATGTTCTAATATGCTCTAAAATGAAAATGTTTCCAAAAAAAAGAAATATTTTGATTATTTTAACAAGTCATTATTTTTATAGTAATTCTATTAACTATATGAATAATTGAGGAAATATGAAAATAAAAGAATGCTTTAATGCAGTAAATTGTAAATTCACATTAAAATAAATTCTAGTAGTTTTGAGTAGCTTCACTCATCATTAAGAAGTGTGGAAAAAAATCTGTTGTCATGTAAGTATTGCCATGGAAACGAAACATGGCTGTATTGTTTCCATAGCAATACTTACAATAATAGTTTGCAACTATTCAAATTTATATTATTGTAACAGTGGATTTAATCCAATAAATTATTATTTTTATATTTTTTACAATCTTAATTTTTTGCAGTCATAAGTTTATTATTAATATGAGACACTTCTGAAAATAATTATTCAATACCTTGATTATAGATGTTTCAGTTTTTTTTTTGTTTGAAAAATAATTTTTAATTCTTTTATTGCTGACCACAAAGATATCAAGTTGCAATTTAAATATGATTAGATAAATACCCTTGAATTTGGAATTTTATTAAAGTCCAAAAATAGTCAGGATTGTTTTTTTGTTTAATTTGTATTGATTTTAGTAAAGCAGAATTTTTTGAACTATTTATTAAGAAATTGGAGTTTTCTAGAGTGAATCTATAAATTTTGCATACATTTAATGTGAAATATAAATTGCTAATAAATATTTTATTTTACAGACAGAAAGTTATGATAATATGGTGGGCTTCAATATGCTTAATTATCGTTCTTGTAAAAATCTGTGGAAATCCTGTGTTGAACATCACACTTTTTTTCGACTTCATGCTCCTCAACGTCCATCTCGTCGTCTATTTTTTGGAGTAGGATCGAAATTTCGATATAGGTGAAATTTATCAATTATATAATTGATTATCAAATACACTTAAACTTTTAGTTTTATTTGATCTTGTAAGAAAATTAAATAAAAATCATTTTTAACATGTTTTGCTTACTTTTAAAATCTTAAATTTTTCAAATATAACAGTAAGAGATTATTTTAACTTATTTAAATTCATTCTTGTAATTCTTAGAGAATATTAAATAAAAACTGTATAATAGATTTAATTCATAATATTGATTTATATATTTTTAAAATTTCATTTTTTAGTGGAAGAACAGAATATCAAACATTGGAAGAAGGTAAAAAAAGTGCTAGACCTGAAAGAGATTTTGCTAGGTTTGTTGAGTTTTTAATTATTCAAAAAAATATTGAAATAAATGTCAAATATAAACTTATATATATATATCAATTATAAACTCTGAAGAATTTATTTTTAAAACATATGTATTCCTAATACAGAAATGCAAACTATTGTTTCTTTATTATAAAATATAAGAATCATGGTTCTTATGGTAAGAAAGAAAAAAAGAATTGAAATCCTCAATAATAAAACTTCTTTCGCATTACTTTTATTTATTTTAAGTATTTTTAAATAGATATTTCTCTTACTATGAATTTTAAATATTTCTTTAGGACTGTTAGTAAAAGATATATGGGTCCACCTGTGCCTCGTGTAATTCGTGAGGGATTAGATATTTATGGAAAGAAACCACCAAGACCAGTTACAAGGATTAATGGAACATCACATATTAGACCATATGACAGTTTAAGTAAAATTAAAATTTCAGAATCTCATTATATTCCTCGGAAAGCATGGTTTACTCCTTCAAGGTTAGTGAAAAAATGAATTTTAGATGATAAATAATACAGTCAACTCACCTTAAAGCAAACACCAATAAAGTGAATTCCTTCATTAAAGCAAATTTTGCCATTGACCAGGCAAAATGCCATTATTACAATGCTAATTTTCATGTGATAAAGTGAACAAAAATTTTTCAGAATTTGATAAACTGAACTGTAAATTAACTCCACAACCCTTAAGAAATAACCCTACTTCCAGTTATGGTTGCTTTTTACAGTTTTTGACATAAACAATAAAAATCAGTATTGTAATAAATGTTCTATTTTGAGTAGTATTTTTCCTCATAGTAAACAAAAAAAAAATCAGCAGTCAAAGACAGCTTTGACTTCTGATTGTAAAGCAATTCAAACATCTGTTTTTAGTGGACCATTCTATTGTACTCAGAAAATAGGGTTAGTGTTTAAGGACACCTGCCCCTTTAAATGGATGTGATCCCATGCAAACATGTGCTAGTTTGCATATTGGGATCACATCCATTTAAAGGCATGTCAAAACAATGATGCCAAGTTTTGGCTACACTGCAGCAAATTTGTTTTTTTTGTTTTTTTTACTCTTTTGGCATCAGAAATATTTTCTACTTTTTAAAATAATCTTTACCAGAAAAAAATTATGAATTTCTTTTAGCTTTGTTTTGTTTAACCACTCTGATATACTACTCCACACTTAAATGGCAAATAGTGATTGGTTGGTGATTAGTGAAAGTGGGTGATTGGTTAACAAACATAATCCGTTCCAAGACTTTGTTCGCTATCCGAATTGTTTGTTAACTGATTATCAATTTACCATAGGTTTTTATGGAAATTTGATTAATTTGTTCTGGAGACTCCAAAAAATAAAAAATATATACTTTCTTACTACTATTATTTATATGTAATAATAAAAATACATACGTAAATAGTCTTGCGTTTTTATTAGTCATGTTTTTTCAGTTTGAAAGGGTTAAAGANTCATAAATACATATATATATATATATATATATATATGTAGTTATACATACACTATATTATTAAAAATATTTGGACACTCACTTTTCCGTAATCTGTCTGTTAAATCTGATATTAATAATGAATGGAATAACTCTGCTACTTCAGTGTCTCCATTTTTCTTAGAAGTATTTTCACTAAATGTTGATATATTTTAGTTGGAATTGTTTTCCATTTCTCTATGTGAATATTTGTAAAGTTATCCACTGAAATTGGGAGAATTGATATGGTTCTCAGTAGGTGTTCCAGTTCATTCCATAGATGCTCAGTGGAATTAAGATCAGAACTGTGAAAATCATTCAAGTTCTTCCATATTCATCTCATTAATCAATTCTTTTGAAGATTTCATTTTGTGAGTTGAACATTGTCATACTGAAACAGAAATGATCTTTTTACAAATTGTTGCCACAAAGGATAGAGAATTATCCAAAATGCAAATGTAAACTTTAGCATTGAAAGTGCCTTGGTTTACATGGAAACAATGAAGTCTAGGTCAAGTACAAAACCAAACTCTGCTCCAAAGCTCCAAACTTCTGCTACCTCTGCTGCCAAACTTTACAGTTGGCATAAGATATTCACATAGGAATCATTCTCCTGCCATTTGACTAGACCATCTGTCAGGTAGTCAAAGATGAACCTTCATTTATTATTCAAAAGAATATTTCCATTATCCAACAGTTAAGTAACAACATGCTCTTCACTATTTTAACTAATGCTATACATTTTTTATAATGATCTAAGGCTTGCATGATCATGAAAACTTATGTTTTTGAGTTTATGATGAATAGTTTTTGTGCTGACATAGCCTGATGAGTTAATTTGAAACTCTACAATGATTTGTTTGATTGATGAGAAACAATAATTTTGTGCTACTCCTTTAATGCTTGACAGCCCTTTTTGATGAGTTGACATGGTCTTCTCTTCAAAACTGAACTGCTATTGCTGCAAAATATTTTTAGTTAACAATTAAATTATTTATAATTAAATAAAAGTGTTTGCAAAGTGGTTTGTGAAAGTTGAAATAACCTATTCATAAACCTATTTGCTTTTTGCTGTAGAAGTGGCATCCTATAACAGTGCCATATTAAAAATCTCTGTGCTTGTCTGTGGATTCTATCTCAATACTGGCACTACTTGTCTGTGCAGATTTGATGACTAAGGGTTACCTTTTATGCCAGTAGTTTTCAATCTTTCCATGACCTCATGACTGTAATTGGCTATGCTTTAGATGTACAGTACCCCCTTGTGCAAATAATTAAGACAGATGAAAATGCAATAATAATAATAAAGATGCAATGCAGTTTTCATTTTTATTATTTGTTAATACCTTTGAATCTTTGTAGCAATGAATCAATGGCATTTACAAGCAATTTAATCATACTGGTATTGCATGTATTCATATGCAAAATTGTAAAATAAAGCTATTTTAATTGGCTCTTACTCTGAATTGCCTTTAATGGAAAGTTTGAGCTTAATAATGAGTACAGATGTCCTTAATATTTAATCATAATGCTGACCAGATAACTCACATTTCTTCTTTAATTCTTAAATTCTTGTGACAGTCCGAACTATTGTTTGCAATTGTTTATAATTATATGATTACAAACACATTCATTAATGAGATGTGGCTACTTTTAATAAATCTGAATAAATAAGTCTGAATACTTTTAATAACATAGTGTATTTGTTTAATTACAATATTTACTAAATTTAAGTATCATTATGTATCTTTTAATAATTCATACATGGTATACAAGATTTATCTTAATTCTAGCTCAATTTGGAGATTATAATCCTGATGTACATAAAAATGGATATTTATCAGGAATCCAACTAGTGCCAAATCAAACAGCTGAAATACAACTTAAAATAATGGAACTCCACAAGCTTCACAAGTAAGCTAATAAGATATTAATTTAGATGAAAATTCATGTTGTCATGTTTTTGGGCTAAATTAAAATACGTCTGCTTTAGAATACGTCCAATTCAGAATACATCCTGTTTGGAATATGTCCTGTTTGGACGAAACAAATTTTGCTCGGTATACGACTTAATTCAATTATACGCGCCATCTATGAACAAGTAGCACTATCAGTGTACTAGACCAGACTAGACGTTCGCGATGCAACGGTTTATAACTTTGTTAAATTTCTTCTGATTTTAATTTGTAAGTAAAATTTTATTATTTTTATTAATTATGAATTGCAAGAAGGCAAATGAAAAGCAACAGAAAACTAAAAAAATGACTAGAATCACAATGAAATTGATAAAAGAGATTGTTGAGAAATATGAGGATGGCATGCATGTTCGAGATTTTAACTGTTGCATACTGTATTCTGAGAACGACAATATCGACAATCGTAAAAAATAAAGATATTATTAATTATTAAATCTGCTAACGTTGTGAAAGGGTTAAATCAATTTCTAAACAGAGATGAAGACATTAGATCATGTTGAGAAATTGCTTTTGCTTTGGATAATTGAAAAACAATGTGCTGGAGACAGCATATCGGAAACAATTATTGCGAGAAAGCTAAAAAGATACATGCTGATCTCATGAAAAATCAAGCAGGAACTAGCCAGGAAAGCGAGGTGTTTAAAGCCAGCCATTTTTTTTTTACATGAGAACGAATGAATCATTTTTACATTACTTCTTATGGGAAAGGTTGGTTTGGTATACGTCCAATTCGGTATAAGTCCGAACATCAGAAACGGATTAAGGTCGTATACCGAGGTTCCACTGTATAAGAAATCAAATAAAGAACAGGAATTATTTATTGTTTTTAAATTATGAAGTTTAATTTTGCTATGGTAATATTTTAGATTACATAATATAGTAAACAAATTTGTATTCTAAGATTCATAATAAATTTATTTCTAAGATTCGTTCTAAGTTATAAAATAAATCTACTTTTTTCATCAAAAGGAGTGTTCCTATATGATTTTTTGTCAATAGCAACTTTATGCTAAGTTCCGAAGGATGTACAATTTATTTTTACTATATTAGTTTTTAGTTAAAATCTTACCATACACTTTTAATATCATGAATTGCATATTTAGAAATATTTAATTACATATACAGTAATTATATGAATTATTGTAATGTTTCAAGTATTTAAGTTTCTCTCTCTCTTTCTCTCTCTCATTAACTTTCTCTTTCCTTTGGACACTTTTCATACACTTCATGGGGTTACCCAGGACCACAGTGAGTGTGACTGCATGTTGAGGAGTGAGGTCTGACATATTTACACTATTTGAGAATGATAAATATAATATTCATTAACAGAAATATATCGTATATTATTTATATGATCAAAAATCATTCAAAAATAAATTAAAATCAAAAATATAATATAGTAATCCTATTTTCTTTCTTTACAAATGTTTAACTTGATAGAAAATAGATTTTGAATCTAATTGAATATATTTAGGATTGTTAGTGAGTCTTAGATTGTTAGATTGTTACTTTTATAAACGTGCCTACTAACAACTAATCTTCCATAGTCAAGCATTAGAATCATATCTAAATGGTATTATTCTGATTATTTTCCTTGAGCTAATAGACTCCTAATATATTTGATGATCTTCAATCTTAAACTTGACTAACAGGATATAAATAAAACATATTTAGCATTTTATTGTATGAATGAAGTATCACACCCAAAATATTTGAAAAAATATAATGTTTTAAATTTTCAAATATTTATTTGTTTAGTGTGAACAATAGAAATAAAATTAATAAATTAATTTTATATGTTTATAAATGCATTTTATGTATTTAATGTAATATTTTACAGAGGTCAAACTCCAGCTGATGCAGAATTTAATTTTTTGGATCATGCTAAAAGATTGGATATGTATGGAGTTGAATTACATCAGGCCAGAGTAAGTATCAATTCTGAATAAAAGTAAATAGAACATTTATAAAAAATATTTATTATTGTGAAAATTATTATCATTAGGAATTTTTATTCCTAAGAATACAGTTTCTATAATTATATAAAAATATTTAAAATTTTTATATATTTAAATGAATGTTAACAGAAAATATCAATTTCTATTTATAAACAATATCATATATGTTTAATTCAGTAATTTAAAATTAAAGACAAATGATTATCTATAAAACAGCTGATAGAGAAGTTATATGTTTTAAATAATTAATATTTTATCACTTTCATCAATAAAAGAAATTAGACAAACTTTCACATAAAATTGTAAGTGTACGAAATATGATGAGAGATGTAAGTTGCAATGAGACTACAAATAAATATGCAACTTGAGGATCAGTCAGAAGTTATCTGCAAAGTTCTTGTAAATTTTATTACAAGGTATTTGAGAAATAAATCTTTGTATCATTTTTTAACATAGTTCCCTGGCTTCTCAATACACTTGCTTCATCTGTCCACAAGCTTCTGAATTCTTTGCAGAAAAAAGTTTTAAGTTGATACACAAACTAGGTATGCACACTATCAAATATATTTAAATTACTGCAAGAAATCAGCTTTATATACACCTTAGGAAATCAAAACTTTAATAAATATTGGTCAAAGTGTCTTACATACATAAGGATGCTAAGTTCTTCAGAAGTTTTGATTGAAAGAACCTTAAATGGAAGATTTTTTTAAATAGCTTTCTCAATTTTATAGAAAACCTGTTTTTAATTGAATATAATTTATATTTTTTGCATCTCATATCCAAAGATTTACAGATATTCTCTATATAGTATTGCATTAGATTTTGAGATCTATAAAATAATAGGATTTTATAAATACTAGTTATCTTAAGATCAGGTATATTCTATTCATTTTCAAGAGTGATAAATGGATAGACGTTTTGATGTAATAATTTAATAATTCTCTGCTAATAGCACTCTTCCTAAGATTTAAAAATTTTTAAATTCTTTTATCTTAAGAACAGAAAAAAGTACACATATTTGTGTTTTTATTTGGTATTCTATTAAATATATATAGATTTTTTTAATCACTAAATATGTTATATTTATGTAGGATGTCAGTTTAAAATAATTTGATGATTGCAATGATATCTACTTGATAACTTATTTTTGTTTGTTATGTCTTGTTATTCAGTATATGTTATATCTATTTTTTCAATTAATTAAATAAACTTAAAATTAATATAAAAAATAATCAAAGTATGAACTATAGATTCAAAAATGAAGTCAAATCATAAACATTAATTGTGAAATATCTTATTGAAATAAATGCATAGCATATTACTTTTTTGATTATTATTATTTTTATAGGATTCAATGAATAAAGAAATTCAGTTAGGAGTCACTTCAGCAGGTTTGGTAGTCTTTCAAAATAACTTAAAAATTAATACTTTTTCATGGTAAGTGTAATAATTATTTAGAAAATATTAATATTATACTATATTATATTATGTTATTATATGTGTTAAAGGGCAAAAATACTAAAAATATCCTTTAAAAGGAGGCAATTCTTTATTCAGTTAAGAAGAGAAGGTGTAAGTTCATTTTTGCTTTATTTTTAATTTTCTAAACTTTAATTTATAAATATTGATATTAAATGCATTGTTTATAATTGATGTACTGTATAAATCAATTATGTTTGTATCTGAGTGCATGGCAAAAATGTCATGAAGATAGAATTGTCCAATTACTTGCAAAACTCAGCATGCAACTATATCTGTGCCTCTTTCTAGTAAAAGTAATTTGACTAGAGGTTAGCAGTCATCATCTCATGATAATTTTAATAATTGTAATAACTTCTAGTCAAACTGCCTACCTTCAGTCAAATGTCTTTACATTTAATTATTAAATTAGCCTTACTTTGGCAGATTGTTTGGCATTACTTAAAAATCAGGCTTTATGTATTTATATATACAGTATTCAGAAGATGTTATGCAATGACAGAGATTGTTATTCTACACAAGAATGTTTTGGGGTCTACAAAATTTTTTTAAAATTAGGTGTTACAGTATCTAACTTTGCATACATTGGAGTCACTTCCAGAATGCTTGCAAACAGGTTGGCCAAACACCAAGAGAAACATAATAGATGTACTACCAATACAATAGTATCAATAAATTTATACTTTTTAAAATAATTTTACATTTAGCTGATATTTATGAACATATGATTTTATAGATAAAAAAGATACAACTTTCAGAAATGCAAAACACTAAATTTAATTTTTTTATGAAAGCATTTCTGTCAAAGGAATGTGTAAACTTAGCACTATATTCAAATATCAAGACAATAATTGCTAAGTTAAGGTAACAAAAATATTCTTTTTATGATTTAGTTCAGCAGCAGCACAAATAAAATATAAACTTTATATAAAAACAAAATATAAAATTAAATTTTGATATTTGGAATGATTCATATTTGAATTTTAAATTGAATTTAAAATATTGAAAACACATTTAGATTTATAAATTTATGAATTTTTATGTTCTAATATGCTCTAAAATGAAAATGTTTCCAAAAAAAAGAAATATTTTGATTATTTTAACAAGTCATTATTTTTATAGTAATTCTATTAACTATATGAATAATTGAGGAAATATGAAAATAAAAGAATGCTTTAATGCAGTAAATTGTAAATTCACATTAAAATAAATTCTAGTAGTTTTGAGTAGCTTCACTCATCATTAAGAAGTGTGGAAAAAAATCTGTTGTCATGTAAGTATTGCCATGGAAACGAAACATGGCTGTATTGTTTCCATAGCAATACTTACAATAATAGTTTGCAACTATTCAAATTTATATTATTGTAACAGTGGATTTAATCCAATAAATTATTATTTTTATATTTTTTACAATCTTAATTTTTTGCAGTCATAAGTTTATTATTAATATGAGACACTTCTGAAAATAATTATTCAATACCTTGATTATAGATGTTTCAGTTTTTTTTTTGTTTGAAAAATAATTTTTAATTCTTTTATTGCTGACCACAAAGATATCAAGTTGCAATTTAAATATGATTAGATAAATACCCTTGAATTTGGAATTTTATTAAAGTCCAAAAATAGTCAGGATTGTTTTTTTGTTTAATTTGTATTGATTTTAGTAAAGCAGAATTTTTTGAACTATTTATTAAGAAATTGGAGTTTTCTAGAGTGAATCTATAAATTTTGCATACATTTAATGTGAAATATAAATTGCTAATAAATATTTTATTTTACAGACAGAAAGTTATGATAATATGGTGGGCTTCAATATGCTTAATTATCGTTCTTGTAAAAATCTGTGGAAATCCTGTGTTGAACATCACACTTTTTTTCGACTTCATGCTCCTCAACGTCCATCTCGTCGTCTATTTTTTGGAGTAGGATCGAAATTTCGATATAGGTGAAATTTATCAATTATATAATTGATTATCAAATACACTTAAACTTTTAGTTTTATTTGATCTCGTAAGAAAGTTAAATAAAAATCATTTTTAACATGTTTTGCTTACTTTTAAAATCTTAAATTTTTCAAATATAACAGTAAGAGATTATTTTAACTTATTTAAATTCATTCTTGTAATTCTTAGAGAATATTAAATAAAAACTGTATAATAGATTTAATTCATAATATTGATTTATATATTTTTAAAATTTCATTTTTTAGTGGAAGAACAGAATATCAAACATTGGAAGAAGGTAAAAAAAGTGCTAGACCTGAAAGAGATTTTGCTAGGTTTGTTGAGTTTTTAATTATTCAAAAAAATATTGAAATAAATGTCAAATATAAACTTATATATATATATCAATTATAAACTCTGAAGAATTTATTTTTAAAACATATGTATTCCTAATACAGAAATGCAAACTATTGTTTCTTTATTATAAAATATAAGAATCATGGTTCTTATGGTAAGAAAGAAAAAAAGAATTGAAATCCTCAATAATAAAACTTCTTTCGCATTACTTTTATTTATTTTAAGTATTTTTAAATAGATATTTCTCTTACTATGAATTTTAAATATTTCTTTAGGACTGTTAGTAAAAGATATATGGGTCCACCTGTGCCTCGTGTAATTCGTGAGGGATTAGATATTTATGGAAAGAAACCACCAAGACCAGTTACAAGGATTAATGGAACATCACATATTAGACCATATGACAGTTTAAGTAAAATTAAAATTTCAGAATCTCATTATATTCCTCGGAAAGCATGGTTTACTCCTTCAAGGTTAGTGAAAAAATGAATTTTAGATGATAAATAATACAGTCAACTCACCTTAAAGCAAACACCAATAAAGTGAATTCCTTCATTAAAGCAAATTTTGCCATTGACCAGGCAAAATGCCATTATTACAATGCTAATTTTCATGTGATAAAGTGAACAAAAATTTTTCAGAATTTGATAAACTGAACTGTAAATTAACTCCACAACCCTTAAGAAATAACCCTACTTCCAGTTATGGTTGCTTTTTACAGTTTTTGACATAAACAATAAAAATCAGTATTGTAATAAATGTTCTATTTTGAGTAGTATTTTTCCTCATAGTAAACAAAAAAAAAATCAGCAGTCAAAGACAGCTTTGACTTCTGATTGTAAAGCAATTCAAACATCTGTTTTTAGTGGACCATTCTATTGTACTCAGAAAATAGGGTTAGTGTTTAAGGACACCTGCCCCTTTAAATGGATGTGATCCCATGCAAACATGTGCTAGTTTGCATATTGGGATCACATCCATTTAAAGGCATGTCAAAACAATGATGCCAAGTTTTGGCTACACTGCAGCAAATTTGTTTTTTTTTTTTACTCTTTTGGCATCAGAAATATTTTCTACTTTTTAAAATAATCTTTACCAGAAAAAAATTATGAATTTCTTTTAGCTTTGTTTTGTTTAACCACTCTGATATACTACTCCACACTTAAATGGCAAATAGTGATTGGTTGGTGATTAGTGAAAGTGGGTGATTGGTTAACAAACATAATCCGTTCCAAGACTTTGTTCGCTATCCGAATTGTTTGTTAACTGATTATCAATTTACCATAGGTTTTTATGGAAATTTGATTAATTTGTTCTGGAGACTCCAAAAAATAAAAAATATATACTTTCTTACTACTATTATTTATATGTAATAATAAAAATACATAAACAGGGTGTATCAGAATGACGTTTTAAAAATTTGGGGGATTGTAGAGGATGAAATTTTGAGCGTTTTGACATAAGGAACCTACAGCCAGAAATTTTAACTAAAGTATCTACAGCAGTAGTAAGTGCTTGACCACTCTTCACTTTGGTAGTTACCCTTCCATCCATTGACGTCATGTTATTGCTGCGAATGGAAGACTGTAAACACACAACTACAATGATCTAACTGAGCCTGTGTACAGGACGTTGTGTACTTGGTGCTTGTCGTCCTTCAGGTCATCCCTTGCATCCACTGGCACTGTGTTATAAACACACAGCTAGTCAATGTGAATCCCTTGTGTACACAACACCTGTAGGAACAGTTCATGAGTTTACAGAGTGCATCTTTACAGCATTTAATACCATCAGAGGGGAGTGTGGCATCTTACAGAGAGTCAGACAAAACATGGTTCGTCATTGTGCATTATGTAACAAAATTGGTGGTTGTCATATTGAACATTTAATCTAAAGTAGTGCAGCCACTGACTTGATGTACAGTTTAATTGTACTATACTGTTTTGTCAATAAAACTTGTCATAAATACTGTATTCTGCTGTTTCATTCATCACACCAACTGCATAGAACATGCAAAGTGCTGTAGAAACTTTATATCACATTTCTGGCTATAGGTTCCTTATATCAAAATGTTCAAAATTTCATCCTCTACAATCCCTAAATTTTTAAAACGTCATTCTGATACACCCTGTATACACAGTCTTGCACACAGTCTTGCACTTTTATTAGTCATGTTTTCTTCCGTTTGTGGTGTGTTAAAGATTCTTTCTAATGTTCGATTGCTTTTCTCTCTTCTTCAGGATTTTTCAGAAATAATTAATAGCATTGTAATTGTAGAGATCCTTAAGCCTATTAATTTCAACCTGGTTTGGATGCCATTCTAAGACTGTCGTTCTGACATCATCCCACTTCAAATACATGTTTAATAGCAGATATCGACATTAATTCTCTTTTTCAGAAGAAAACATATCTTGCTGAGTTTCTTGGTGTTCTTCATTCAAGAGTTCTTGGCGTTTTTTTGTCATCAGATCCGTTTCAGGTTCTATTATGAGCTCTTTAATGTTCATTATTTCTCAGATGTGATTTTAGTTATTCCTTTAGCTGCTTGAGTCTTCTTGATTATACTGTATCTTTCTTAGATAAGATTGAACTGTGGCCTACTGTAGACCTGTTCAAGCCATACTGCCCAGCAACACCAGCCAGACATCTGCCCATGAGAGTATAATACCTTTGCTATTATACTCTCACCTTTCGAAAATAAAAACCAACACAAAACTTAACGAGTGCCTGCCCGACAGTCTCATGAATACTACAAAAGAATTGTTTCTGTAAGAAAAATAAAAGGCTGGAATTACAAGGGAGAGTTTCAGAGTTTGGAGGAATACTAGCCGATCAGTATAAACCGGGTTGAGTATCAATGTTGACGTCTCCCGCACTCTGAAAAGTTTCAAATTGTTGCCTGAAGACAAGGGAAGACTAATTGGTACTCATTGTTTTACGTCACTTCTTGTGTTTGTTCTGTGAGGTATTTGTTATCCGAACATAAAAATCTTTCACAAAAGTGTNCAGTATTGTAATAAATGTTCTATTTTGAGTAGTATTTTTCCTCATAGTAAACAAAAAAAAAATCAGCAGTCAAAGACAGCTTTGACTTCTGATTGTTAGCCTTACTTTGGCAGATTGTTTGGCATTACTTAAAAATCAGGCTTTATGTATTTATATATACAGTATTCAGAAGATGTTATGCAATGACAGAGATTGTTATTCTACACAAGAATGTTTTGGGGTCTACAAAATTTTTTTAAAATTAGGTGTTACAGTATCTAACTTTGCATACATTGGAGTCACTTCCAGAATGCTTGCAAACAGGTTGGCCAAACACCAAGAGAAACATAATAGATGTACTACCAATACAATAGTATCAATAAATTTATACTTTTTAAAATAATCGTCGTGGCTATTGTATCGTTAAAAATTATTATTTTTATATTTTTTACAATCTTAATTTTTTGCAGTCATAAGTTTATTATTAATATGAGACACTTCTGAAAATAATTATTCAATACCTTGATTATAGATGTTTCAGTTTTTTTTTTGTTTGAAAAATAATTTTTAATTCTTTTATTGCTGACCACAAAGATATCAAGTTGCAATTTAAATATGATTAGATAAATACCCTTGAATTTGGACTATAAAACAGCTGATAGAGAAGTTATATGTTTTAAATAATTAATATTTTATCACTTTCATCAATAAAAGAAATTAGACAAACTTTCACATAAAATTGTAAGTGTACGAAATATGATGAGAGATGTAAGTTGCAATGAGACTACAAATAAATATGCAACTTGAGGATCAGTCAGAAGTTATCTGCAAAGTTCTTGTAAATTTTATTACAAGGTATTTGAGAAATAAATCTTTGTATCATTTTTTAACATAGTTCCCTGGCTTCTCAATACACTTGCTTCATCTGTCCACAAGCTTCTGAATTCTTTGCAGAAAAAAGTTTTAAGTTGATACACAAACTAGGTATGCACACTATCAAATATATTTAAATTACTGCAAGAAATCAGCTTTATATACACCTTAGGAAATCAAAACTTTAATAAATATTGGTCAAAGTGTCTTACATACATAAGGATGCTAAGTTCTTCAGAAGTTTTGATTGAAAGAACCTTAAATGGAAGATTTTTTTAAATAGCTTTCTCAATTTTATAGAAAACCTGTTTTTAATTGAATATAATTTATATTTTTTGCATCTCATATCCAAAGATTTACAGATATTCTCTATATAGTATTGCATTAGATTTTGAGATCTATAAAATAATAGGATTTTATAAATACTAGTTATCTTAAGATCAGGTATATTCTATTCATTTTCAAGAGTGATAAATGGATAGACGTTTTGATGTAATAATTTAATAATTCTCTGCTAATAGCACTCTTCCTAAGATTTAAAAATTTTTAAATTCTTTTATCTTAAGAACAGAAAAAAGTACACATATTTGTGTTTTTATTTGGTATTCTATTAAATATATATAGATTTTTTTAATCACTAAATATGTTATATTTATGTAGGATGTCAGTTTAAAATAATTTGATGATTGCAATGATATCTACTTGATAACTTATTTTTGTTTGTTATGTCTTGTTATTCAGTATATGTTATATCTATTTTTTCAATTAATTAAATAAACTTAAAATTAATATAAAAAATAATCAAAGTATGAACTATAGATTCAAAAATGAAGTCAAATCATAAACATTAATTGTGAAATATCTTATTGAAATAAATGCATAGCATATTACTTTTTTGATTATTATTATTTTTATAGGATTCAATGAATAAAGAAATTCAGTTAGGAGTCACTTCAGCAGGTTTGGTAGTCTTTCAAAATAACTTAAAAATTAATACTTTTTCATGGTAAGTGTAATAATTATTTAGAAAATATTAATATTATACTATATTATATTATGTTATTATATGTGTTAAAGGGCAAAAATACTAAAAATATCCTTTAAAAGGAGGCAATTCTTTATTCAGTTAAGAAGAGAAGGTGTAAGTTCATTTTTGCTTTATTTTTAATTTTCTAAACTTTAATTTATAAATATTGATATTAAATGCATTGTTTATAATTGATGTACTGTATAAATCAATTATGTTTGTATCTGAGTGCATGGCAAAAATGTCATGAAGATAGAATTGTCCAATTACTTGCAAAACTCAGCATGCAACTATATCTGTGCCTCTTTCTAGTAAAAGTAATTTGACTAGAGGTTAGCAGTCATCATCTCATGATAATTTTAATAATTGTAATAACTTCTAGTCAAACTGCCTACCTTCAGTCAAATGTCTTTACATTTAATTATTAAATTAGCCTTACTTTGGCAGATTGTTTGGCATTACTTAAAAATCAGGCTTTATGTATTTATATATACAGTATTCAGAAGATGTTATGCAATGACAGAGATTGTTATTCTACACAAGAATGTTTTGGGGTCTACAAAATTTTTTTAAAATTAGGTGTTACAGTATCTAACTTTGCATACATTGGAGTCACTTCCAGAATGCTTGCAAACAGGTTGGCCAAACACCAAGAGAAACATAATAGATGTACTACCAATACAATAGTATCAATAAATTTATACTTTTTAAAATAATTTTACATTTAGCTGATATTTATGAACATATGATTTTATAGATAAAAAAGATACAACTTTCAGAAATGCAAAACACTAAATTTAATTTTTTTATGAAAGCATTTCTGTCAAAGGAATGTGTAAACTTAGCACTATATTCAAATATCAAGACAATAATTGCTAAGTTAAGGTAACAAAAATATTCTTTTTATGATTTAGTTCAGCAGCAGCACAAATAAAATATAAACTTTATATAAAAACAAAATATAAAATTAAATTTTGATATTTGGAATGATTCATATTTGAATTTTAAATTGAATTTAAAATATTGAAAACACATTTAGATTTATAAATTTATGAATTTTTATGTTCTAATATGCTCTAAAATGAAAATGTTTCCAAAAAAAAGAAATATTTTGATTATTTTAACAAGTCATTATTTTTATAGTAATTCTATTAACTATATGAATAATTGAGGAAATATGAAAATAAAAGAATGCTTTAATGCAGTAAATTGTAAATTCACATTAAAATAAATTCTAGTAGTTTTGAGTAGCTTCACTCATCATTAGGAAGTGTGGAAAAAAATCTGTTGTCATGTAAGTATTGCCATGGAAACGAAACATGGCTGTATTGTTTCCATAGCAATACTTACAATAATAGTTTGCAACTATTCAAATTTATATTATTGTAACAGTGGATTTAATCCAATAAATTATTATTTTTATATTTTTTACAATCTTAATTTTTTGCAGTCATAAGTTTATTATTAATATGAGACACTTCTGAAAATAATTATTCAATACCTTGATTATAGATGTTTCAGTTTTTTTTTTGTTTGAAAAATAATTTTTAATTCTTTTATTGCTGACCACAAAGATATCAAGTTGCAATTTAAATATGATTAGATAAATACCCTTGAATTTGGAATTTTATTAAAGTCCAAAAATAGTCAGGATTGTTTTTTTGTTTAATTTGTATTGATTTTAGTAAAGCAGAATTTTTTGAACTATTTATTAAGAAATTGGAGTTTTCTAGAGTGAATCTATAAATTTTGCATACATTTAATGTGAAATATAAATTGCTAATAAATATTTTATTTTACAGACAGAAAGTTATGATAATATGGTGGGCTTCAATATGCTTAATTATCGTTCTTGTAAAAATCTGTGGAAATCCTGTGTTGAACATCACACTTTTTTTCGACTTCATGCTCCTCAACGTCCATCTCGTCGTCTATTTTTTGGAGTAGGATCGAAATTTCGATATAGGTGAAATTTATCAATTATATAATTGATTATCAAATACACTTAAACTTTTAGTTTTATTTGATCTCGTAAGAAAGTTAAATAAAAATCATTTTTAACATGTTTTGCTTACTTTTAAAATCTTAAATTTTTCAAATATAACAGTAAGAGATTATTTTAACTTATTTAAATTCATTCTTGTAATTCTTAGAGAATATTAAATAAAAACTGTATAATAGATTTAATTCATAATATTGATTTATATATTTTTAAAATTTCATTTTTTAGTGGAAGAACAGAATATCAAACATTGGAAGAAGGTAAAAAAAGTGCTAGACCTGAAAGAGATTTTGCTAGGTTTGTTGAGTTTTTAATTATTCAAAAAAATATTGAAATAAATGTCAAATATAAACTTATATATATATATCTATCAATTATAAACTCTGAAGAATTTATTTTTAAAACATATGTATTCCTAATACAGAAATGCAAACTATTGTTTCTTTATTATAAAATATAAGAATCATGGTTCTTATGGTAAGAAAGAAAAAAAGAATTGAAATCCTCAATAATAAAACTTCTTTCGCATTACTTTTATTTATTTTAAGTATTTTTAAATAGATATTTCTCTTACTATGAATTTTAAATATTTCTTTAGGACTGTTAGTAAAAGATATATGGGTCCACCTGTGCCTCGTGTAATTCGTGAGGGATTAGATATTTATGGAAAGAAACCACCAAGACCAGTTACAAGGATTAATGGAACATCACATATTAGACCATATGACAGTTTAAGTAAAATTAAAATTTCAGAATCTCATTATATTCCTCGGAAAGCATGGTTTACTCCTTCAAGGTTAGTGAAAAAATGAATTTTAGATGATAAATAATACAGTCAACTCACCTTAAAGCAAACACCAATAAAGTGAATTCCTTCATTAAAGCAAATTTTGCCATTGACCAGGCAAAATGCCATTATTACAATGCTAATTTTCATGTGATAAAGTGAACAAAAATTTTTCAGAATTTGATAAACTGAACTGTAAATTAACTCCACAACCCTTAAGAAATAACCCTACTTCCAGTTATGGTTGCTTTTTACAGTTTTTGACATAAACAATAAAAATCAGTATTGTAATAAATGTTCTATTTTGAGTAGTATTTTTCCTCATAGTAAACAAAAAAAAAATCAGCAGTCAAAGACAGCTTTGACTTCTGATTGTAAAGCAATTCAAACATCTGTTTTTAGTGGACCATTCTATTGTACTCAGAAAATAGGGTTAGTGTTTAAGGACACCTGCCCCTTTAAATGGATGTGATCCCATGCAAACATGTGCTAGTTTGCATATTGGGATCACATCCATTTAAAGGCATGTCAAAACAATGATGCCAAGTTTTGGCTACACTGCAGCAAATTTGTTTTTTTTGTTTTTTTTACTCTTTTGGCATCAGAAATATTTTCTACTTTTTAAAATAATCTTTACCAGAAAAAAATTATGAATTTCTTTTAGCTTTGTTTTGTTTAACCACTCTGATATACTACNAGATTTTTCGCAGATAAGGGAAAAACAGAGGATGTTCTAACTTCCCTAGAAGGAAGTAGCATTTGTTATCTATTTTTCCCACTCTAAAACGTTATTTTTCTCACCCAAACGAAAGAATATTTTATAACAAAATATTAACATTATTAATAAAATTACTATTTTAGACCAGGGGGCCTTTCAGATCTCACAATATTCTTTTAATTGATAACATTGACACCAATTATTGGTCAGTTAATAAAAAACTCAAATGAAAAATCATAAAACTTATATTTAAAGGAAAACATATAATAATTGTTCATTTACAAACATATACAAAGTTTCATTTCAAAAAATTTATAATTTTCATTGTATTTTCTTGGATAATGCTGTGTTTACTTTATGTTAAAGCTAAAATATATTTTTATCACTTTGAAACTTTGGTTAAACTAAAAATTAGTATGAAAATCTTCAATGATATTTAGTTTTAGTTATAACAAGTATGCAAACATAATTTTTCTGATTCATGGACTTTAGCCATGTTATGGCTAAAGTCTATGAATCAGAAAGTTAGAATTCACTGGCTAATGCTAAATTTATCCAAGTCTTTTGGTTAAAGCAAAAGTAATATTCTACTTTATCCTCTAAGGACCTTTATCCAAGTGTTAAGGGGATAAAGCTGACATTAACCAAAAATGAATGGATAAAGCAAAAATAAAACTTAAAATTCAAGCTTTATCTGGATAATATGCATTGGAAAGATTGTAGACTAGCAAGCTAAAATAAACCCTAAATTTTCTCCCTATTTTATCCAAAATGGAGTGGATAAAATCTCAATTTTTTGTTCTTGCTTTATTTTCTTGTGGCTTGAATAAAGGAAGTTTTATACAGATAAAGTTCATTAACGTTTAATAGCTTGGCACTTGCTTTAATCAAAAGACTTGGATAAAGTTAGCATTAGCTAGTTAGTCCAAGCTTTATCCAATTCATGGGCTTTAGCCATGACATATACATTATTAATTTAAAGCAAAAATTAACCAATCTTTTATTACTATAGTTTGCAATTTTAAATTATTATTTTTTTGATTTAACATTAATAATAATAATTTTACTAACATTAATATTTAAGTGATGAAGCTAAAGCATTTGTACCAAATATTCCATCAAAATTAATCCATTATATGGATGATGATGAAGAACAAATTCTTGAATGTACAATATATGAACGTGAGACAAAGGTAGAGGTAAGTTTTTAATGTATAGTTTTTCAAATTTTTAAATAAAGATAAATGATAAACTATTTTACTTATATAAAAGTAAACTAATCAAATTTGGAAATTTATGATAACCTTATCTTTAATATAGTTTCTGTAATAATGAAATTTTAATATTGTAAATTAATTTTGTCTATTTTTAATGCTTTTGTTCATATACAAGCATTCTTCAATTTTCATATATTTGTCTTTTGAACAACTCAACAAAATATCAAGGTATCATGTACAAGAGAATGCATTTTTACATGATACTTTGATTCTTTAATTTGCTTTTGTATGCCAGATTTAAACTTTCAAATATCATATTTTCAGCTGACAAACAAAATATTTGAGCTATTGTATGAAGGCACTTTCTACCAGTTTTTGTTTCAACAACAGCAAAATTGATTGTAAAATTAATTTTTGTCTGTTTAATATATGATTTTAACATTTTAGATGATGATTTATGAATTGTTATACATATTTATTTCAAAAAGTTAAACCTTAATAAGAGAGTTTATAAATTTTTTTAGTTCTCTAAGAATGGAATTCACTTTATAACCTTTCTTGTGAATATCAACTGCTTAAAGTCGAAATAACAAAAATTTACCTCACTATGTAAACATAGAATTCTCCTTTGAATTATTTTCTTGATTAAATGCTTTTCGAGATGCTTTTTGAGATGCTTTTTATCTCATCTTCGGATCAAATCATTGAATTTAGAATGTGAAGCATCATTTAAGTGAAAGGTTTCTTTTTAACATCATAATGGAAGTTAAAATGGAATATTGTTTAAAGTTTTGAGGTGTATCAGATTTGAATGAAGACATTGGTTATCTTTTGATTTTGTTTTCATTTTATAATATGCCACTCTATTGCTCAAATTTCAGACATTTGACTTCTGTACAAATTTTTAGAAATGAATCAAATCCAAAAGTCAAGGATGCCTTTATTAGAAAGTAAATAATATCAAAAGAATAAAAACATCATTAGGAATTTGATTTCAATTTTGATAACTTTATTATTCTAGTATATACAGCAGAGCATCGATTATCCAACCTCCGATTAACCATCACATCGGTTAACCGACCGTTCTAGTCGGCAAATTTGAAATGTCCGCTAGTGATGTGGCATTACAATATTTGGCTATGTCTTGGCTACTTTAATATTATTTTTGTTAATTTTTTTTTTTAACTGGCATCAATGGCTCGACCATTGAAGGAAGGCCAGTATTTAAATGAGACTTAATTTTCTAATTATAAGCGGTTGTTTGTTTTGTGAGCAATAAAATAATTTAAAAATAATTTTTAACGATACAATAGAGACAATTATTATTTAAAAAAAAAACTGTTAAGCTAAACATCAATGAAAATTCAACGCAAAGTTGGTTAATAGCAATATACTAATAAACTAATTACATGGGATATACTAATATTCTAATATACTATACAAATAGTGTATTTTTTTCCTTCTTTTCAATTATCCGATTTTTTCAGTTATCCCCAATTGTCCCCTGAGTCCCCAATTGAGTCGGATAATCGATGCGCTACTGTATATACTACTAATGTGTAGACATATTTTTCTGTTTACATTAAAATAATCATTGTGCAGAATCATATCAACTATATAAATATTTAAAATATATAATTAATGGTATATTTTTTATTTTAAAATGTTTAGATTTTTATAATAACTAAATATGAAAAATTTGTAATAAAAAATTTAAATTTGAAATTTGAGTAAGATATGATAAAATAATATTAAGAAATTTTTCAGACCAAAAAATATGAAGAATCAAATATTGTTACAGTAAGAATGAAACCTGATAATCAAGGAAGATTTGGATTTAATGTCAAGGTAATTTTAATATTATAAATTAGTCAGTTATTTGTTCTGTTACTATTGAGAAAATTTATTGCTGTTTTCATTACCTATGTTTTTGTTGAATAAATTTTATTCAACTGGGATATCCAAAAAGGCATTTAACATAATTGAGGCAGGAATTATACTAAAGTAAACTGTATCTTACATATGCTATCAATATTTAATTTTTTTTAAAATCAGTAGCATAATATGGAATTCACTTATGGTGTTGAAGCATTAAAAAAATTAAAATAAGGATTAAATGGTTGTGATTTTCAATATCTTTATATATAAGTATTTTTCTATTTTTGAACAAATAGGAATGATGCTACAGTTATAATATATTTAATTAAAAGATAAGTTATAATAAAGATAAATGATAAACTATTTTACTTATATAAAAGTAAACTAATCAAATTTGGAAATTTATGATAACCTTATCTTTAATATAGTTTCTGTAATAATGAAATTTTAATATTGTAAATTAATTTTGTCTATTTTTAATGCTTTTGTTCATATACAAGCATTCTTCAATTTTCATATATTTGTCTTTTGAACAACTCAACAAAATATCAAGGTATCATGTACAAGAGAATGCATTTTTACATGATACTTTGATTCTTTAATTTGCTTTTGTATGCCAGATTTAAACTTTCAAATATCATATTTTCAGCTGACAAACAAAATATTTGAGCTATTGTATGAAGGCACTTTCTACCAGTTTTTGTTTCAACAACAGCAAAATTGATTGTAAAATTAATTTTTGTCTGTTTAATATATGATTTTAACATTTTAGATGATGATTTATGAATTGTTATACATATTTATTTCAAAAAGTTAAACCTTAATAAGAGAGTTTATAAATTTTTTTAGTTCTCTAAGAATGGAATTCACTTTATAACCTTTCTTGTGAATATCAACTGCTTAAAGTCGAAATAACAAAAATTTACCTCACTATGTAAACATAGAATTCTCCTTTGAATTATTTTCTTGATTAAATGCTTTTCGAGATGCTTTTTGAGATGCTTTTTATCTCATCTTCGGATCAAATCATTGAATTTAGAATGTGAAGCATCATTTAAGTGAAAGGTTTCTTTTTAACATCATAATGGAAGTTAAAATGGAATATTGTTTAAAGTTTTGAGGTGTATCAGATTTGAATGAAGACATTGGTTATCTTTTGATTTTGTTTTCATTTTATAATATGCCACTCTATTGCTCAAATTTCAGACATTTGACTTCTGTACAAATTTTTAGAAATGAATCAAATCCAAAAGTCAAGGATGCCTTTATTAGAAAGTAAATAATATCAAAAGAATAAAAACATCATTAGGAATTTGATTTCAATTTTGATAACTTTATTATTCTAGTATATACAGCAGAGCATCGATTATCCAACCTCCGATTAACCATCACATCGGTTAACCGACCGTTCTAGTCGGCAAATTTGAAATGTCCGCTAGTGATGTGGCATTACAATATTTGGCTATGTCTTGGCTACTTTAATATTATTTTTGTTAATTTTTTTTTTTAACTGGCATCAATGGCTCGACCATTGAAGGAAGGCCAGTATTTAAATGAGACTTAATTTTCTAATTATAAGCGGTTGTTTGTTTTGTGAGCAATAAAATAATTTAAAAATAATTTTTAACGATACAATAGAGACAATTATTATTTAAAAAAAAAACTGTTAAGCTAAACATCAATGAAAATTCAACGCAAAGTTGGTTAATAGCAATATACTAATAAACTAATTACATGGGATATACTAATATTCTAATATACTATACAAATAGTGTATTTTTTTCCTTCTTTTCAATTATCCGATTTTTTCAGTTATCCCCAATTGTCCCCTGAGTCCCCAATTGAGTCGGATAATCGATGCGCTACTGTATATACTACTAATGTGTAGACATATTTTTCTGTTTACATTAAAATAATCATTGTGCAGAATCATATCAACTATATAAATATTTAAAATATATAATTAATGGTATATTTTTTATTTTAAAATGTTTAGATTTTTATAATAACTAAATATGAAAAATTTGTAATAAAAAATTTAAATTTGAAATTTGAGTAAGATATGATAAAATAATATTAAGAAATTTTTCAGACCAAAAAATATGAAGAATCAAATATTGTTACAGTAAGAATGAAACCTGATAATCAAGGAAGATTTGGATTTAATGTCAAGGTAATTTTAATATTATAAATTAGTCAGTTATTTGTTCTGTTACTATTGAGAAAATTTATTGCTGTTTTCATTACCTATGTTTTTGTTGAATAAATTTTATTCAACTGGGATATCCAAAAAGGCATTTAACATAATTGAGGCAGGAATTATACTAAAGTAAACTGTATCTTACATATGCTATCAATATTTAATTTTTTTTAAAATCAGTAGCATAATATGGAATTCACTTATGGTGTTGAAGCATTAAAAAAATTAAAATAAGGATTAAATGGTTGTGATTTTCAATATCTTTATATATAAGTATTTTTCTATTTTTGAACAAATAGGAATGATGCTACAGTTATAATATATTTAATTAAAAGATAAGTTATAATTGTCTTTTACTTTGTAAAGCTTCTTCTCAGATTAATTACTCTTGAAATATCAGTAAAATTTACTCAGAAAATTTTATTTGATATAAAAAAGTTTTAGTAACCATATTAGAAAAACAAATTTGAAAATTCTTTGAGAACTACAGTAATTATTAAGATAAATTTTATAGAAATTGAATATTTAAGAAAGAATTTTTCAATCAATCAAATTAATTGAAACTAACTATTCAAAAATATATTATATTCATTGATTTTATCAAGATGTTTTTTTTTATGTATTTATAAAAAATGTTTATTTGAATTCCATATACAGGGTGTCCCAACGAAAATGAAACGGCAGAGATATCGCGTTCGTCCAAGCAAATCGCTCGGACAGGTCGATTTTATTCTCAAGGGGGACATTTTCTGCAATGAAATTTTTGCGATTCTGAATACAACAGACAACAAAATTTTTAAAAACTTATTCATTTTTTATTAACTAAACAAACATTTATTCCACCAATCAACACTTGATAGCTCTCCAAGACGTCCACAGATGGCTTGATGTCTTTTAACTAATGAGCGGTTGAGTCTTTAGATGTTGTCCGAGTAGCATTCCTATGGCAACCAACATCGTCTGTCGAACGACTAAAAGCGCGGGAAAACGAGTGTACCAGACGATTTTTATCCCAACAAAACAAATAATAATCATAAATTCGAATTGAATCACTATGTGGTCAAGCTTAATGTGAACACTACAAAATACTGTATTATAACATTTGGAAACAGATAACACATTATCAACCTTAATTTTATGATCAACTTATTTTTCCTTGCATATGCGGTCTAGCTTAAAAGGTTTTTTTATGTTTTTTAATAGTTTGTGTTACTTTATTTGAAATAAATGTTTGTTTCGTTTTCGTTGGGACACCCTGTATAATTGAATGACCTATAGTTTATGGCTCTGATTCAAAATCCTACACTATTGAAAGCCTGATTTGACCAAAAGACTGACAAGTAAAAATCTTGTTAGATGAAAATTTTATATACTATTAAATCAATTACCAAACTCAAGCAAATATCTGTTTTTATAATGAGCCATTGTCAGAGTACTGTCAAAAAACTTTTGTTATTTATTGTTATTTTATTTTGTTTTATATTGAAGCATAACAATTTCAAATTACAAAAACATTTTGTTAAATTCTATAATTGTCACAAATTACTTACTTATGAAATTTTTTAATTCTATTTTATTTACTAATTATAATGTGTTAAAAACAAGGGAGAAAAAAATGAAACTTTTTAATTTTAAGCTGGACTATTGTATCAAAAGTAATTTATTTTCTTGAATATAAATGAATTGAAACTCAAAAATTATCATAAAGTTAATGATTACTCAATTAGCTGTTAAAATTTTATGGTTTGTTTAAGAAAAATTTGAATTCAATTGTGGTTATTGTAAAAACAATAAAAGTGGTTACATGCTATAGATGTGTGTTTTTGTTCAGACATACAATATTCCCAAACCACAATATTATATATGTAGGCTGTAGGCTGTATTTTTTCAAGCTTCAATGGTTCATATAAAAAAAAAAAAAAAGAAAGGTGTAAATAACAAAATGAATTTATTACCAAAAGTAAGGTACAAAGATGGTTATTTTTCAACATAATCACCGAACAGATTGAAGCATTTGCCATATCTGTGGACAAGCTTTTCCATCCCTCTTCATAGAATGTTGCCGCCAATGACTTGAGATAGGACCTAACGTTGTTTTGAAGATCGTCATTAGTCTCAAACCTCTGCCCTCCTAGCCACTTTTTCTGTTCAGGAAAGAGGTGGAAGTCACTTGGCACTAAATCAGGGCTATATGCTGGATGTTTAAAGGCGGTGAAGACTTCCACCCAGCTTGGAACTTTTTAATGTGTGAAGATTTCCACCTCTTTCCTGAACTGAAAACGTGGCTAGGAAGACAGAGGTTTGAGAATAATGACAATCTTCAAAACAATGTTGTTAAGGCCATCTTAATTCACTGGCGACAACATTCTATAAAGAGGGGATGGAAAAGCTCATCCACAGATATGACAAATGCCTCAATCTTCATTGTGATTATGTCAAAAAGTAACCATGTTTGTACCTAACTTTTGGTAATAAATTCATTTTATTATTTACACTTGTCTTTTTTTTTATGGACCATCGGAGTTTGAAAAAACCACCCTCATATTAATGTATTATCTACTAATATAGTAGATAATACATTAGTATATAATACTGTGGTTCGGGAAGATAGCACAAATGAATGGTTGGGACACTTGAGAAGAAGAGACATTAAGTTTGGGATCAAAGGTGAGAGAAGGGTGTGGAGTGTGGAGACAAAGTTGGAAGATGTCAAGTTTGGGCACAAAGTCAGAGAATGTTGTGAAGGGCTGTGATGAAAATGTTGTAAGCAGTAAATAAAGTATTTTGTTGAAGTTTCATTGTGTTAGTTAGTAGAAAAACTTCCTACAATACTAAACAATCAATTATTGTAAATCAAACTTTGTATGTTTGACTCAGAGAACAGCCTATTAAATTGATCATTAAACATTTTGTTGAGAAAGTGCTTTTATGTTTTTTTGCTTAAACTATGCAAAAATGTCAACAGAAATTTCCTTGAGATCTGCAGGAATTTATGTATAAAAATTATCTTTCAAAATTTTTATTGAGTCAAGAATATGTAGGAACAATGACAATATCAAGTTTTTGATTGTGCCAATAGTTTGACCTGTTGGCTTTCATGCTTGTCAGGCTTTCAAGTCTGTTGGGATTTTGAATGTCAAGATATTTATTTATCAGCATTTTGATCAGATTTCATAGTTTACATATCTTAATTTATGTTGAAAAATTAAATTCTGTTTGTTTTCATTAAATCAGCATTTTCCAACATAAACTCCAGTGATCTATTAACATTTTGAATATTATTGATTCTATTTATTCTTTTTAGTTAGTTTTACCCATAGATATTAACCAGAATGCAATTGCATTAGTTATAAATTGAAATTGAATGTTTATAGAAAATACAGTATATTGATCCACTCAACTTGAAAGATGATATGAAATCTCATCAACAGAATTTTTGATAAGAAATGGAATAATGCTTATACATGACATATTTCTCAAGAACATTATTGAATAATTTATTTAATATTAATTCATATAAAGTATATAAGATTTATTTAAGAAATATATTATGTTTAAATAGTATATACTTTTAACATAAACAACCAAAGATAAAACTTTTTCCAAATATATCAGAAGATAAAAATCTGATAAGTCAATTATTAGAAATGACTTATCAGAATTTTAACATATCTTTTTGTAATAAAACAACAAATTATAAATTATTACAAATAAAATCAACAAATCTTAAGTGAGGTGTCAATTCACATTGAAATTGAAATGGAAAATAGACAGTCTTAATTTATTATTTATTTATTTACCAAACTGACCAACCTACAGGAAACCCCAATTACAGGTCTGAGGATACATAATAAAAATACAAATACTTTAACATGATAAAAAAAATTAGGAAAGTTAGAAAAGCATTAAAAATCACTCTTCAGCATGCATTGGGGAGATCTAATAAAGAAAAAATGATTTAACATAACGATAAAAAATATAAACACAATTTTTGCATTAATCTTAACATTCAATATTAAATGGATTGAATAAAGATTGCCAAAATTGCCATTCCAAGTGATTGTAAAGTGCAGTTAGTTTATGAACAGATATATTTTGTGCAATATTAGAGTTATACAAAGGAATTTTAAATCTGAATTATAATTAATTTTTTTTATCAAACAGTAAACTAAACTGCCAGATTATTTCCTGATGCCTTAACTGATAACATGCCTAATAAGTTTAATTGTGAGTTCAAATCCCAGTCTGGATCCATTTTTTTCTAGAATTTCTAAATTATTTATTCAAAATTAATTTCTAATTGTTAATTTTTATTGCGATGAAATAATTAGCTTATGTTTGGATAAAATATTAAGAACATCNTTCAAACGTAACTTTTATTTTCAGAATAAAATATTTGTTCACAGATATTTTTAAGCTATTTTGTATAATATAAAACAATAATACCATAAAATTAATAATAAATTTTAAGGTATATCATATGCAATTTTATCACAAAATTATTATTTTAATTTGTTTTTAAGGGTGGAGCTGATCAAAATCTTCCAATTATTGTATCCAGAGTTGTTCCATCCACTCCTTCTGATACTTGTGTACCAAAACTTAATGAAGGTGATGAAATATTAGCAATTAATGAAGCAGATGTAAATGGAATGACTCATGAACAAGTAAGTTTTTCTTTTATTTTTATATTTAATTAATTTTACAATATATGCATTATATTATCATATTGAATTTTATTATTAATTTAATGTTTTTTTAATAATGTTAAAAATTAACCAAATAAAATTTTAATATTTTTAATAAAATTTTAAAATTTTATTTGGTTAACCAAATAAAAATTTTAATAAATATTAAAATTGTTATATATTTTAGGTTGTAAAATTAATAAAAACATCATGTGATACAGTAACGAAGGAATTAGTTTTGAAAGTTTGTCCACATGGTATGTTTCTTACTATTGTTAATTTTTATTGCGATGAAATAATTAGCTTATGTTTGGATAAAATATTAAGAACATCTTTTAAATTTAAGAAAATGAAAATTTAAATAAGATCTAAGAGTATAAATAATCTTAATGCAAATTATTCAAGAGTGATCAATGAAAATAAAAATAGTCTAATATCTAGAAAAAATTATGAAAGAATAATAATAAATCAATATTATAAATGCCCAATGATAAAAAACTCAATTTATATATTAAAATCATCTGATTCAAGCAATAAAAGCATGTCAAACAATTCAATTAGAATTCATTTAAACAAATAAATAGATTATTATTCAAATTTTTTAACTGAAAGTAAAAACTGATTTCATGGACTATTTAATCCAAAGAGGCAAAGAACAGATCTTAAAACCACTTTTTCATCCTGTACAATTTTAAATTTAAAAACAAAACTAACTGGAATTATTCAGCAAGGGAATAAGATAAGGCTTGCCTCATCCAACTTAAGGTTCTGATTTGATTTTGAAAGTTGTCTATAAATTTGTATGGGAATTATTTGATCGCCCTTCTTTCCTTCTTACTTTCTAATTTTTTCTCTGGTGACTTAGATTTATTAAAATTTTCTTAATCATCAGGTAAAAAGAAGGTGCGTGAGAGATAAAATCAAACTTTTATGTTTTTTTTTTTTTAATCAGTTCCAAAATCAATCCCTCAGTTCCAGATTCTCACACAGCACATAATTGTAGATCACATTAGTTTAATACTTTAATCAAAATAACAGGTTTATAGCCCAAAAAGTTTGATATTATTTAGTTTAAAACTAAATTTGTCACTCAGTTTGCATTTTTATAATTTTAGTTGAAGTTAAAAAGGGAGTTGAAGAACCTGACTTTCAATATATACCAGATATACCTCGTGATAAATCCAAACTGGTTAGACAGCCAAGTTTGTTAGATGAATCAATATTACTTCTTGGTGATGGTTTAGAAAGTGGTGCTACTATTGCACAATTTGAAGTAAGCAAAATAAAGATATTTATATTTTGTTTTTTATCTTAATTCAATTCTGTTAAAATATTACTGTAATAAATTTAATAATCTCTATATTTAATTTATTATTAATATGCAGCAGCATAATTATTAAATTACATAACTAAATTTCTCTGCTAGCTATCTTACAACTTTTTAAAAAATTAAGTACAGAAATCTAATTTAAAATAGAAAAGCTATTAAGAGCAGTTTACAAAATCAACTATTTGCCAGAAAGCCAAAATTATTATTATTTTTTTCAATAATATATTTGACCATTCAATGACCATTTTCTCAACTTGAAACAATTTCATGTAAAATGCAAATTTAAAACATCTTAAAAATTTGTAAATGGCTGTATTTATGAGTAAAAAATTTCTTTAAGTATTTAATACATTTTTTTTTTTTTTAAACTCTTTCCGCCCTGTGGGCACTAAGAGGGCTCTTTTTGCAAGCCCATTATGGTTCGGCCAGGTCCACAATGGGGCTGAAGGATGGTGAGGGCCAAGGCCCAACATATCCGAACAGACCATCCCCCAAAAAATTCCTGGGGTTTTTTGACCCATTCAGATTCGAACCTGGGCCCCCCAGAGCGGTAGGCTGCCACCTTGACTGCTTGGCCATCCAGCTGCTTATTTAATACATTATAAACTATTACTTCTAGTCTTCATAAAATATAGTTATTTAATAAAAAATATCAGCAAAGTATTTTTATATATTTCATATAAACTTTTTTAATAAATGCTTTTAGAAAACTTATTTTCTAAAAAATGTTAATTTAAAAGTTTTTAAAAAAATATTTTTCAATTTATTAACTGTTTCATATTTTGAATTTTCTGCATTTTATGCATCATCATCATCTAGCACTTGTACAGAAAGAAACCAGGAACAACTATGAAAACTGCTAAATTGCCTGAAAATCAAGCAAGAAATAGATATAAAGATATATTGCCATGTAGCTATATATTTTTTTTAAGATTATTAAATAAACAGAATTTTAAATTATAATCCATTGTTAAAACAATAAAACACTGTTAATGCTTATTTACAGATGATACAACAAGAGTAATTCTTCATGGAGGGATAACTGATTACATAAATGCCAGCTATGTGAATGTATGTATATAACAAAACTTTCAATCAGTCTAAATTGGTAAAAGCTCAAAAGACTTTCTTATGGGAGGGATGAAGTTAAATTAAGCCTTTTTGATTAATTATATATTATATCTAATTTTCTGTATTATTTTTAAATATAATTTTCTGTAAATATCTAGTTTAGTCGATTTGAAAAGGGGTACAGGTTATCTGTCAGTTTTAAAATGCAATTATCTTTCATTCTAAACTTACTAAGATTGTCTTTAAAAATTGTGAAACATCTTTCATGTGGCTACAATGTTCATTTCTATGGCGATTTTTTCCTAGAAACTATCAAAGATAAAGTATGCCTCACCTTTAGTTGTCTTTTATTTTTTAACCATCAATTCACATTTTAATTGATTAGACACTCCTACTTAAATTTGTATCTTGAAAGCTGATATGTTACTCCTCTATAATGAATATGAGCTAAATGATCAATTCTCAAACCTAAGTGGTTAGATATTACAAAATCTACATGCAAATTTTCTTAATAAGTCATAAAAAAGTATTAGTAGTTACTACTTTTACTTTTCCAGCTCTGTTATATATAACAGAGTGAAAGTATGGTAATCAGTTAAAAAAATGACCCCCCAAGATTGTACATTTTTGGACTCAAGGGACCTTGAAACATTGAGAAATGTGAAAAAATTTAGTGGTTTTTCTGTGTGTGTGTGTGGGTGCTATTTGAAGCTACATCCTATTTGAAGCTTAATAACTACTGGGCATTTTGTTGAAAATTTTTGAAATTTTGCAGGGGAATTGATACTATTAAATTTTGGTGGTTAATGGTTGACAGGATGAAGAGATAAAAAAGATCATGTGCTATATCTCAAATAGTGTTGGATTTATTGATGATTTTACTCATTATTAGCATTTACAATTTTTTATAAAACCCATCCGTACCCTCAAAATTAAGCTTTTTGCCATTTTATAATAATTAAAAATATAAATGTTTTTAATAATAAAATACCATAACAGATGGTGCCCCCACACAGTTTTAAATATTGTTGTGAAAGTTATGCAACTTGTTGTTGGATTTTTTACTGTTGTGTTACATTTGTGTATTGTCACAAAGAATTTGCCATGAGTATTTGAATTTAAAGATTTATTCTTTTGAAGAATACATGTATCTCCTAATGAAAACTTTATTCAGTATTTAATTTAATCTTTATCAAAATTTCTGGAAAGGCTGCAGCCCTACATTGATTATAGGCAAGTCACCATTAGTCTAAGGTGACCAGATGTCCTGCTTTTTAACAATTTGTCCCGTATCCTGCGGCATTTTAAAAAAGTCCTACATTTTGGAAAGATTAAGTTTTTGTCAATTATGTGTCATAAACTTATGTTTATGTTTAAGATTCGTAAAGATCAATTTGTATCACACGTATCAGTACTAGTGCATGCATGAGCATCAGAAATAAAGAATACTGTGCCGACAAAGCCCTTTGTGTTTGTGTGCAAAGACCAACAGAAAATGGTTTGGGATGCGCAGCTGCATTAGTGGAGTAGTGCATGTTCACAGGCTGTCCAAACAAGCAAACATTTTGTTCGTTACGTGTTACATAGTGCAGAGTTCTCGACTCTCACCACCTTAGAAAGCTAGCGACTAATGAGTGTAAGCACATCAGTTTGCATAATTCTATTGCTAGCTGTGGGGCTGAGGTTCATTTTGGTTACGACAGTATTATGTAATAAAAAAAAAATTACAATAATAAAGTGACATTCAAGGCAAATTCAGAGGAAAAGTAATACAAGTTAGTATTATTATTATTTAGAAAGAAATACAGAAGGATTAAAATAATTGTTAAAATATAGTTTGTCATAGGTACTTTAAAAATTTTTTAAATTGTCATAAAGATTTATAATACTATATATGTTTATTATATTTGTAAAGTTTACATATGTTGAAATTTAAAAAATCTAATACAATATTATTTTTGCATTCTTTGATAATAAAATTTGGTTGTTCTAGAACAGTTTTTTTCAACGAGACAATTTTGAGCTCTCCCCCATCAATAGCTTTACCAATGTTAAAATCTGGTCACCTTACATTAGTCTATTGTTCATTTTTTATCATATAAAGCTTTGTTTTTTTGTATCATTTATTATAATTAAGATAAAATTATTAAAAAAAAATTTAAATTATTATAATTAATCTTTAGATGGAAATACCTAATACTGGTATTATAAACAAGTATATTGCTACCCAAGGACCTCTTCCAAATACTTGTGCAGAATTTTGGCAGGTTTGAATTTGCTTCATTTTAATTTCTTCATTTTAAATGTTTTAGCATTTTGCAAATCTTAATATATGGTTTTATTAAATTTTTATATAATAATTAAATATAAAAATTATGTCTTACTATTTGAAATTTCAGATGGTATGGGAACAGGATTCTACAATTATTGTTATGGTTACAACTTTAACAGAACAAGGACAAGCAAAATGTTATAGATATTGGCCTCAATCTCTGAGAGAGTCAATTGAATATGGTCCATTACAAATAACTTTGGTTCAAGAGGAAGAAACACCAACTGGAATTTTTCGTCAATTTTCTGTACTTAATGTAGAGGTAAAACTTACATCATAATTTGTTTTTTGAGACTTAATAAAATTTACTAAGAATTATTACTTTTAGACAAATAAATTACGTAGAATAATACAGATGCAATATGTATCGTGGCCGGATCATGGTGTTCCAGAAAATGATGAAGATTTTTTTAATTTTGTTGGACAAATTAGACAGAAGAGAAAGGAAACAATGGAACCAATAATTGTTCATTGCAGGTATTTACCATAAATTCTCACTTAATCATTTGTGTAAACAGACTCAGTTAATTGTCCAATGCTTGCTTAAATGCTCATGAGCAATTAATTGAAACGTTTTTCTTTAATATCATTGTACCATAAAGTTTAGTTTCCACTATACAATTCTGTCCACCAAAATGATTTGGATAGACCATTGCCTAGCAATGATCTATTTACAGATGTTGATGGAAGATGTCATCAAATAACAGCTAATAGGAAACATTTTCTGTTCAAAAGTTATGGCAGCTTGCAATGCAAATCTTAATGAGTTGGCAGAAAAAAATAATCCATTTTTATATGATTGGTCTTTGAGAGAATATCATAAAAAAATTTTAAAAAATAATAATAAATTTATGAAAATTTTGGAAGAATTAGAAATTGTTGTTAATTCTACTCTTGTCTGCTATTAGACAAAATACTTATGGTGGAAAACGTTGTGTGTGGAAAAGTATCCGTTTCACTGTTCTGTAATTGATGTGATTAAAATAGATGAAACTTCCATGTAATTGTCCATGGATAAAACATCCAAATTACATGGAATGCAATGCATGGATGATTAGGTGAGGATTTATGGTAAAAATTTTTTTATTTCAAATGTATAGAAAATGAAAATTTTCTGTCATACAATTTTTAAATATAATAGTGCTGGAGTTGGAAGAACTGGAGTTGTTATCTTAATGGAAACTGTAATGTGTTTAATTGAAGCCAATCAGCCAATATATCCTTTAGATATTGTACGAACAATGAGAAACCAAAGGGCAATGCTCATTCAAACAACAGTAAAGAAATTAATTTTATAAGAAATTAACTTAAACGTTATATTCTTATAGATTAATAAAAATATTTTTTTTTCTTTTAGAGTCAATATAGATATGTATGTGAATCAATTTTAAAAGTATACAATGGTTTGTATTTTTTTTTTAATTTATTCAAAACTTTTTAAAATACTCTAAAATTAACTTTCTTATTTTTATTTTTTTTAGAAGAAATTGTAAAACCTGTTAAGGAGTAAGAAGAGAAATATTCAGGGTATATATTGTGTCAACTTCAATGTGAAACAACATCTTATAAAATATGAATATATATTTTTCTACAAAACTTAAGAGAGATGTTGATTTCAAGCAGTATTACTGCATTATTGATGTTACGATGCTAAAGCATATATTTTGTTATCTGTGTCATTTGGACAGTTTAGAGATTTGATATCTTAATTGGAACACCAGACATTAAACCATATCATTTTATAAAAATTTTATGAAACACCAAACAATTCTTATTATTCAGATGTAAAATATTTTGATTTTTATTGTTTAATCCAAATCTTATTTCCTAATATAAATTTTATTTAGTATTTTTATACTTTATTTTTCAATAAGATTATTTTTTATATATTTATGCTGATTTAAAAAAGAATATAGTGTTATAATTCATAAAACATAATTGCATTTGATTACTTCAATAAGATTAAAACTTTATTTGACATTATTTACTGTAAATATACTTTTTACACAATGTAAATAGATCATAGTTTTATTTAAAATCATCATCATCATCCTGAATTTGTGATATTTTCTAATTTAAATACTTTGTGAATTTTTACAACATATATAAACTTTTAAATATTTTATATTGTATGATGATAATATCCAGTGATCACCAGTGCCATGTCATACCATAAAGTGTACTTAAAATAGTTTATGGTAATTATATTTTTCTTACAGGATTTTAATAAAGATATGGTATGCATTTAGTATATTTCTCTTTACTTACTTATTGCATGTATTTCAGAAAATAGAAAAGAAATGATGCCTTTAATGGAATAATGAATGCCTTATAATTTTTTTTATAATAGATTATCATGAAAACACTTCAAGGAATGGTAAGATGAATCATTTATATTATGGAATGTATTTTTTTTTCTTTTCTGGCTGTTATGTATTCATAACAAGGGAAAGTATTGGAATCATTTGACTCTCTATGTTGCAAATCTCTGTTTTGAGATTCCCTAAAACTAAAAAAAAAAAAAAATAAATAATGGATAAAAATTGTATGTTGGCATCTCTTTCGTTTAACATCTGAGGATAAGGTAAAGATTAAGAAACAAAATTTGGCATGGTAGCTTGTGTTTAAGGGGTGGGGAGATGGAAGAGTGTCTTGTTATATTCAAGAAGGGTCAGACTTAATGACGATTTTACTCATTATTAGCATTTACAACTTTTTGTAAAATTCATCAGTAGCCTCAAAATTAAGCTTTTTGCCATTTTATTATAATTAATGATGTATAAAAAATTTTTTATACCAAAATCTCAAACAGATAGCACCACACACAATTTTTATTATTATGATTAATATGTTTTTATTTTAAAAATATCTCATAGCAGCTGGGAAAGTTAAAGAACTCATTGCTAGATTTTATATATATTGCTACAGTGCCAAGCTGCAACATGTTAATTGCATGTGGCTCTTCTAGACCTGTCTTTTTATCAACTTGGTAATGTACAGTACATACTGCTAAAAAGTATTACATGTGTAAGTTTTCTATTATTTGGTGTTATACACACAGAGTGAAAACTGAAAACTAAGTTGTAAGTTATGTTTACAATGTTAAGAGTATGTTCATAAAGTTGAAGGAGTTAAATGTTTACCCAGTCAATTGTAAAGTATCAGTACAGTAAAATAATAGTGATATCTACAGAATTGTGATAATTATAGTATTTTAACTATATATAATATAAAATAGTGTTCGAATAGAAAATGCAGCTCTCATGTATTTCTGATAGATTATATATGGCTCCTACTATGACAGTGTTTGGCATTTTATTATTATTGAATTTTTAGAAAAACATTAAAATTTCTAAAGTTGTTAGTAAATGCACAAAATCAAGGAAACATCTTTGATCCATGGATTTGAATTTTGCATACGAGAGTAGGACAGAATTTATTGTAGGAAAACAAAAGCAATTACTAGTCACTGGAACATTTCTACTTTAAAGTACAACCCTCCAGATTGCATGTAGCAGTTCTAGTGACCCTTCCACTTTTCAGTGCATGTCTGATAGGTCTGTTTGGTAATGGCTCACTGCTGTCATGTCTGATAGCATTTCTTCTTCAGGGTGGTTTTGAGCCTGGGAAAGAGGAAGAAGTCATAAGAGACCAAATCTATAAAGTGGGTGAGAAACTGCCAAAAATTGTGTGTGGTGCTATCTGTTTGAGATGATTGCAGAGATGATGTGCTTGGCCAAATTTCTGTGAAACTCAGGGCTGCATGGCATGGTGCACAAATGGTCTTCTGGTAACTGGTTACCAGAAGACCATTTGTGAGGACACTTCCAATGAACTACATCTCTAAGGCACTGCAGAACATGTCTATAGACAATCTGATATCAAGTCTTATTGATCAGCCTGTAAGTGAATCATTATCTGTTGAAGTGCAACCATTTTTGAATACTAATAAAATTTTTTGGACTAAGCACTGTTTTTTGAATGCTTGTTGAAACATTTTGTATGTTTTGATGACTATCTTACCAAGTTCCCAATGTGTTTGAATCAAGTTTTGCTGGAAACTTGATGCAAACACCTTGCTTATTCAACTCATCTATTTTATAATACAACAGAGGAAAAAATACACTTGTATTGTAGCTCAACCTACCAACAATTGACTTGTGCTGCACCACTACTCTGATACATGACATCAGGAGATAGTCAAATATCCTCCATAGTTATTATATTGCTACTATTAATAGTTCCTTTAAAAAAAGTCTGTCATGGATATTTTTGATCATCCCTTATACTTAAAATAAGGTTTAAATATCTATATGCTGGATGATGTGCTTTTGATATGGTTTTTATGTATACAATTTTATTTCTGATTATTTCTGTTATCTAGTTTAACATTTTTATTTTATTTCATGTTTAATGAAAAAATCTACTAATTTTACAAATGTTATATATCTGAAAGAATTCTGATGGAAAAACTGTTCAATTTATTGAAAAACTGTTAATCTATTGTTTTTTAAATGTAAATCTTCTTAAAAACTGGATGTATTTACTATCCAAAACTACAAAAACACCATAAATCCATTTATTGAACAAACTCAATTTATTGAAAGAAGAAACGTTTTAAACCATTTTTAAAGGCCATCTTCAGGTTCTAAAAATGGAATACAAATCTGATCAAATCTAAACCAATATCAAATCTAATTGAAAATCAAATTCAAAAGTATTCGTCCAATACTTAAGGTCAATGTGTGAGAGCTGAACAAATAATCAAAGGTAAATACAGAAAAATATAATGCTGAACATGTAAATGGATCAAACAATTTAAATGTGAATTGGAACTGATGACGGAATAGTAAATTATAAAAAATATTTATTCTAATTAAAATATTAGGTTTCTAAAAAACAGATTTAATTCTATATACTGTCCTCAGACAGTATATAGAATTTAATCTATAACAAAATGGAAACTCCCTTGTGTACAAATGTAAATTTCTTAAAAAGTTAAGCAATTAAAGAATTCCAACTTTTAAGCAAATATTATTTTATTCGGACATTATTCCAATTTTACAAAAATAAAAATATATTCAGATATCATGTCACATCTTTAGAGAGTTAAGTGCTTTTAAAAGTAGGAAAATAAATTTAACAAATATTTAACTATGTATTTGTTTCATTCAAAATACAGTAGAGTGTCGTTTATCCGAATCAATTCGGGACTGGGGTTGTTTGGATAACTTATTTTTCGGATAACCGATTATGTACGAAAAAATATATTAACCTATCCCGTGTTGAAATTTTTCTCCACTGCGTGTCGCTTCACGTTGAATTTTCATCGATGTTAAGCCTAACGTAAACTTTTTAAAATAATAATCGTGGCTATTGTATCGTTAAAAATGATTTCTTCATGTTTTACAAACAAAATAAATACATTGAAAGATATAAAAACAAATAAAAATTATACTTTAGGCCGAATGGAATTCTTTCAGATAAACGACGCTCTACTGTACATCTTACAATTATTCTTCTATAAATTAAGTGATAATTTTTGCTAGTATACTTAGAAAAGCATTTTATCTCTTCATTTCCAAATTATTTGATATTGTTTTTGTTTCATTTGGATAAAAAAAATTATAGTTTTATTTTGTTGTTCTTATCAGGGAAATTTTAAAATTCTATAAAATTTTTCCAACCATAGATCCTAAAGATAACATATAAAGTTTGCAATAATACTGTAAATTTAATCCGAGTTTACACCTCATTTATAGTAGTAGTTGTTAATAACTGATGCAAAATTATTCAAGAATAAAGTAAAACACTTAAAGCAACTGCTTGAAAAATATTTTGCAGTTATCCTATTTTATACATGTACAGTACAATACTTGATTATCATTAGATCAGATTTTTGGAACTTATGCTAGCAAAGCCACTATTTTATAATAGTTCTCAATATGAAAGTAACTTTCTTTTAATCTTGTAAGCTCAATCAATTTTATAATATTACATCAATTTGTTAAACTAGATAAAATGATCATTTAATTTTTTTAATAATAATTTGAAATAAGAAGCCAAAATAATAGCTAAATCCAAATGCTTTAAGCAAAAATTTAAACATAGATTCAATAACAACCCTTTTTTTAAATCAAGAAACTCAATAAAATTACACAAACAGGCCTCAATGGAGGATATAAAAGATTGGAAGATATTTCAACTTAGATCATGTTTTGTATAGCATATAAACTTACAGTTGAAAATTGTCATCTTTATTCAGAACTTTGGCATCTTTCATCTCTTCTTGANATTTGAAGCTACATCCTATTTGAAGCTTAATAACTACTGGGCATTTTGTTGAAAATTTTTGAAATTTTGCAGGGGAATTGATACTATTAAATTTTGGTGGTTAATGGTTGACAGGATGAAGAGATAAAAAAGATCATGTGCTATATCTCAAATAGTGTTGGATTTATTGATGATTTTACTCATTATTAGCATTTACAATTTTTTATAAAACCCATCCGTACCCTCAAAATTAAGCTTTTTGCCATTTTATAATAATTAAAAATATAAATGTTTTTAATAATAAAATACCATAACAGATGGTGCCCCCACACAGTTTTAAATATTGTTGTGAAAGTTATGCAACTTGTTGTTGGATTTTTTACTGTTGTGTTACATTTGTGTATTGTCACAAAGAATTTGCCATGAGTATTTGAATTTAAAGATTTATTCTTTTGAAGAATACATGTATCTCCTAATGAAAACTTTATTCAGTATTTAATTTAATCTTTATCAAAATTTCTGGAAAGGCTGCAGCCCTACATTGATTATAGGCAAGTCACCATTAGTCTAAGGTGACCAGATGTCCTGCTTTTTAACAATTTGTCCCGTATCCTGCGGCATTTTAAAAAAGTCCTACATTTTGGAAAGATTAAGTTTTTGTCAATTATGTGTCATAAACTTATGTTTATGTTTAAGATTCGTAAAGATCAATTTGTATCACACGTATCAGTACTAGTGCATGCATGAGCATCAGAAATAAAGAATACTGTGCCGACAAAGCCCTTTGTGTTTGTGTGCAAAGACCAACAGAAAATGGTTTGGGATGCGCAGCTGCATTAGTGGAGTAGTGCATGTTCACAGGCTGTCCAAACAAGCAAACATTTTGTTCGTTACGTGTTACATAGTGCAGAGTTCTCGACTCTCACCACCTTAGAAAGCTAGCGACTAATGAGTGTAAGCACATCAGTTTGCATAATTCTATTGCTAGCTGTGGGGCTGAGGTTCATTTTGGTTACGACAGTATTATGTAATAAAAAAAAAATTACAATAATAAAGTGACATTCAAGGCAAATTCAGAGGAAAAGTAATACAAGTTAGTATTATTATTATTTAGAAAGAAATACAGAAGGATTAAAATAATTGTTAAAATATAGTTTGTCATAGGTACTTTAAAAATTTTTTAAATTGTCATAAAGATTTATAATACTATATATGTTTATTATATTTGTAAAGTTTACATATGTTGAAATTTAAAAAATCTAATACAATATTATTTTTGCATTCTTTGATAATAAAATTTGGTTGTTCTAGAACAGTTTTTTTCAACGAGACAATTTTGAGCTCTCCCCCATCAATAGCTTTACCAATGTTAAAATCTGGTCACCTTACATTAGTCTATTGTTCATTTTTTATCATATAAAGCTTTGTTTTTTTGTATCATTTATTATAATTAAGATAAAATTATTAAAAAAAAATTTAAATTATTATAATTAATCTTTAGATGGAAATACCTAATACTGGTATTATAAACAAGTATATTGCTACCCAAGGACCTCTTCCAAATACTTGTGCAGAATTTTGGCAGGTTTGAATTTGCTTCATTTTAATTTCTTCATTTTAAATGTTTTAGCATTTTGCAAATCTTAATATATGGTTTTATTAAATTTTTATATAATAATTAAATATAAAAATTATGTCTTACTATTTGAAATTTCAGATGGTATGGGAACAGGATTCTACAATTATTGTTATGGTTACAACTTTAACAGAACAAGGACAAGCAAAATGTTATAGATATTGGCCTCAATCTCTGAGAGAGTCAATTGAATATGGTCCATTACAAATAACTTTGGTTCAAGAGGAAGAAACACCAACTGGAATTTTTCGTCAATTTTCTGTACTTAATGTAGAGGTAAAACTTACATCATAATTTGTTTTTTGAGACTTAATAAAATTTACTAAGAATTATTACTTTTAGACAAATAAATTACGTAGAATAATACAGATGCAATATGTATCGTGGCCGGATCATGGTGTTCCAGAAAATGATGAAGATTTTTTTAATTTTGTTGGACAAATTAGACAGAAGAGAAAGGAAACAATGGAACCAATAATTGTTCATTGCAGGTATTTACCATAAATTCTCACTTAATCATTTGTGTAAACAGACTCAGTTAATTGTCCAATGCTTGCTTAAATGCTCATGAGCAATTAATTGAAACGTTTTTCTTTAATATCATTGTACCATAAAGTTTAGTTTCCACTATACAATTCTGTCCACCAAAATGATTTGGATAGACCATTGCCTAGCAATGATCTATTTACAGATGTTGATGGAAGATGTCATCAAATAACAGCTAATAGGAAACATTTTCTGTTCAAAAGTTATGGCAGCTTGCAATGCAAATCTTAATGAGTTGGCAGAAAAAAATAATCCATTTTTATATGATTGGTCTTTGAGAGAATATCATAAAAAAATTTTAAAAAATAATAATAAATTTATGAAAATTTTGGAAGAATTAGAAATTGTTGTTAATTCTACTCTTGTCTGCTATTAGACAAAATACTTATGGTGGAAAACGTTGTGTGTGGAAAAGTATCCGTTTCACTGTTCTGTAATTGATGTGATTAAAATAGATGAAACTTCCATGTAATTGTCCATGGATAAAACATCCAAATTACATGGAATGCAATGCATGGATGATTAGGTGAGGATTTATGGTAAAAATTTTTTTATTTCAAATGTATAGAAAATGAAAATTTTCTGTCATACAATTTTTAAATATAATAGTGCTGGAGTTGGAAGAACTGGAGTTGTTATCTTAATGGAAACTGTAATGTGTTTAATTGAAGCCAATCAGCCAATATATCCTTTAGATATTGTACGAACAATGAGAAACCAAAGGGCAATGCTCATTCAAACAACAGTAAAGAAATTAATTTTATAAGAAATTAACTTAAACGTTATATTCTTATAGATTAATAAAAATATTTTTTTAAACTTATAATGAAAAATATTATTGTTATAAGTTTCATTAACAACTCATAAATTATGATTACTCATCTGGAAGTACTTTATATGGATTCAAAATACCTTTAGGATCTAAAAGATTTTTCATATTCTTCATTAAATTAATAGCATTTTGGGATTTACTATATTTGATATAATTTCTTTTTTTAAATCCTAAGCCATGCTCAGCACTAATGCTACCTTTGTGTTTAGCAGTCCATTCATATACAAAAGGCTCAATTTGATTCAAAATATCAGAACTATAATTGGTAGAGGTCATATTTAAATGTACATTTCCATCACCAATGTGTCCATATCCACAGCATCTTAGAATACTACTACCAAGTCTTTCTCTCATTATATCTACTATCTCATAATAATTATTTAAAGGTAAAGAGATGTCATATTTATAAGTGTATCCTTCATGAAGTAATGCTTCGGTTATCCTCTCTCGAATTCCCCATACATTTTGAATACGGCCAGGTTCGGTTACCATGGTTCCATCTTTGATCAAGTTTTTCTCCATACCACATTCTAACCATGCCGAGAGTTTTTCTTTGTTGTGCTCTTCATTAGAACCAGAGACCTCAACTAAAGCATAAAATGGATGATGGGATATTGGAAGTCTTAATTTAAGATGTTTTTCCACTGCATCCAAGGCATGATGATCCATCATTTCAAATGATGAAACCACCTCACATAGCATACTCTTGCTTAACTTAAATAACTTTAATATATCATTAAATGATGAACAACCAAGAAATGAGATGGCTACATTACTAGGTTTAACTACACACAAAATTGCAGCTTTGGTAATAATCCCTAGAGTACCTTCAGAACCAATAAATATTTGTCTCAAATTATAACCTGTATTGTCTTTTCTATTAGTAGAGAGGCAGTCTAAAATTCTTCCGTCGGCAAGAACCACTTCCAAACCAAGCACATTACCTGTCAGAGATCCGTATCTGATAAGACGTAAGCCACCTGCATTAGTTGCTATATTTCCACCAATGTGACAACTTCCTTTAGCACCCAAATCTAATGGCACCGTAAATCCTATTTCATTAGCAAAACTCTCAAGAGTTTCAAGCACACAACCCGCATCACAAATCATTATACCAGACAATTCATCAAATTTCCAAATTTTTTTCATTCTAACAGTAGACAGAATGATTTCATCAAATACTGGTACACTACCTCCAACTAAACCAGTATTACCACCCTGAGGACATACCGCTAAATTTTCTTTATGGCAATAAGACAAGATTTTAGAAACTTCTTCTGTAGATTTCGGTCGAAGTAACAACGTGCTCTGTCCTCGACAAGTTTTCATCCAATCTGTATTATAACTTTCGAGATCGCTACCGCTCGTAATCATTCCTTCATCTCCTAGAAATTTTCCAAAGTTTTCTAAATGAGATGTAGATATTTTCGAATATGTTTTTCTTTTAATATTAGGATATCTGAGCGAGGTTAATTCTACATTGGATAACCTTCGAATATTATAATCAATAACATTCTTTATAAGTCCACTTTTGAATCTTACAGCTCTTATACAAACTTCCATATTTTGAGAAATCTCTATTAAACACGTGCAATGATCGTCAGATGCAAAATCAGCTGTTCATGAAAACATCACACTACGTCATTCAAAGCGTAATTTAAGTGTTGCCAGATCAAAACTTATTATTTATTGAAAATATTTAATATATAATGTAAAAACTTTAGTATCATAATTTCGGAAATTTATTATATCGCAAAAAATTTCAAAGAGTATTTCTCCTTTATTTCTCTCTCTCTTTCCCACAATGAAAAAGACCTGCAGATGGTGAAGAACTACGCTGAGGAACTGAGGATGGTGAGAACTTTGAAGTTGCGGCATAAGAATACTGAAAGCAGATTTCACGGTAAGACTCAACATTACAAAGACTACAACTACAAGAAATTTTGGATAAAGTAGTGTCACCATGATAATAAATCAGGGGCCATATTCTGGTCACCGTCTCTCGTCTCTCGTCTCTCACAAGCCGGTCATTGATTGGTTAATCATTTGGATTAGCCAATCAGCGACCGGCTTGTGAGAGACGAGAGACCAGAGACGGTGACCAGAATTCGACCCCAGGAAAATAAGTATTGTCACAGAAAAAGGCTTCCAGCTTTATTGTTTAAGTTAACATAAAAAGTACTTTTTTTCTTATAATTCCTTTTAAACATGACTTTTCTGGACAGGAAATTTCTGACTATTTATTTTAGCAATTTTATTAAAAGAAATATTAATATATTTTTTTCTTTTTTTACAAAAAAACATAAAATTTTGTTTGTGTGGTTCCAAACCACTTCCAGAGCCAGACATTTACTTTATACTTAAACAACAATCTTAACAGCACGGCATTAATTTCGTTGAACGTTAAAACATCTTTAAGGTCTATTCTAGTGTTTAAATAGAATGCGTTGCTATCTGGACCCGCCGACCCACGTTACAGAGAGTCGGCCCTCCAGAAAATGCCAATTCCGGTGTCTAAATCGATTGTGTCGCCACTGGACCTATTACTTTAACTGATAAATTTTTTCAGTTGTGTCATTATTATGAATGTATATTTGTTTTGTATGATGGACCTCGATGGACCTTTGATTTATGGCCTTTTTGCCAAAATGGTTTTTTTTTATGACAACACTTGGTGATCATGCTACCCACTAAAAATGTGTAATTATTTTCGTAATAAATTATCAAATATAATTTTTTATTTAATATTAAATAACACAGTTAAAGTTATAATATTGATTGTAAGATAATTAAATATATATCTTTATGTATTAATTTTGTATACATAACTTAAGATAGAAAACTTAATTTGAACTTACTTCATACTATATTAATGTGCAATAATGTTAATTAAATTGTAATGTTTTTTATATTTAATGTGTCGGTTTATATTTAAACTGTTTTCAGATGTTCAGGTTTGTAAATTATAAAAGAGGAAGACTATTTGGCTAATTTTTGGCGATATCGTCGGAGAATTTCGTCGGCGTCAAAAGTGGAATTGGCAACTCGTTAAGAATTTTAACGGATGCCGACCAACGCCACCTAAGAATATTCTTAGGCGGCGTTGTGTCGACAGCGAATTTTCAAATTAACACATCGAGATAGTACTAAACCAGTTACTACAGCTGAGGCGAATTGAAGTGCGGCAGCCATGACAGTTGAAAGTGGACCCCGTCTATTGACTAAATTTAAGTTAATGAAAACTGAAGATATTTTGCAATTTANTATAAAGTGGGTGAGAAACTGCCAAAAATTGTGTGTGGTGCTATCTGTTTGAGATGATTGCAGAGATGATGTGCTTGGCCAAATTTCTGTGAAACTCAGGGCTGCATGGCATGGTGCACAAATGGTCTTCTGGTAACTGGTTACCAGAAGACCATTTGTGAGGACACTTCCAATGAACTACATCTCTAAGGCACTGCAGAACATGTCTATAGACAATCTGATATCAAGTCTTATTGATCAGCCTGTAAGTGAATCATTATCTGTTGAAGTGCAACCATTTTTGAATACTAATAAAATTTTTTGGACTAAGCACTGTTTTTTGAATGCTTGTTGAAACATTTTGTATGTTTTGATGACTATCTTACCAAGTTCCCAATGTGTTTGAATCAAGTTTTGCTGGAAACTTGATGCAAACACCTTGCTTATTCAACTCATCTATTTTATAATACAACAGAGGAAAAAATACACTTGTATTGTAGCTCAACCTACCAACAATTGACTTGTGCTGCACCACTACTCTGATACATGACATCAGGAGATAGTCAAATATCCTCCATAGTTATTATATTGCTACTATTAATAGTTCCTTTAAAAAAAGTCTGTCATGGATATTTTTGATCATCCCTTATACTTAAAATAAGGTTTAAATATCTATATGCTGGATGATGTGCTTTTGATATGGTTTTTATGTATACAATTTTATTTCTGATTATTTCTGTTATCTAGTTTAACATTTTTATTTTATTTCATGTTTAATGAAAAAATCTACTAATTTTACAAATGTTATATATCTGAAAGAATTCTGATGGAAAAACTGTTCAATTTATTGAAAAACTGTTAATCTATTGTTTTTTAAATGTAAATCTTCTTAAAAACTGGATGTATTTACTATCCAAAACTACAAAAACACCATAAATCCATTTATTGAACAAACTCAATTTATTGAAAGAAGAAACGTTTTAAACCATTTTTAAAGGCCATCTTCAGGTTCTAAAAATGGAATACAAATCTGATCAAATCTAAACCAATATCAAATCTAATTGAAAATCAAATTCAAAAGTATTCGTCCAATACTTAAGGTCAATGTGTGAGAGCTGAACAAATAATCAAAGGTAAATACAGAAAAATATAATGCTGAACATGTAAATGGATCAAACAATTTAAATGTGAATTGGAACTGATGACGGAATAGTAAATTATAAAAAATATTTATTCTAATTAAAATATTAGGTTTCTAAAAAACAGATTTAATTCTATATACTGTCCTCAGACAGTATATAGAATTTAATCTATAACAAAATGGAAACTCCCTTGTGTACAAATGTAAATTTCTTAAAAAGTTAAGCAATTAAAGAATTCCAACTTTTAAGCAAATATTATTTTATTCGGACATTATTCCAATTTTACAAAAATAAAAATATATTCAGATATCATGTCACATCTTTAGAGAGTTAAGTGCTTTTAAAAGTAGGAAAATAAATTTAACAAATATTTAACTATGTATTTGTTTCATTCAAAATACAGTAGAGTGTCGTTTATCCGAATCAATTCGGGACTGGGGTTGTTTGGATAACTTATTTTTCGGATAACCGATTATGTACGAAAAAATATATTAACCTATCCCGTGTTGAAATTTTTCTCCACTGCGTGTCGCTTCACGTTGAATTTTCATCGATGTTAAGCCTAACGTAAACTTTTTAAAATAATAATCGTGGCTATTGTATCGTTAAAAATGATTTCTTCATGTTTTACAAACAAAATAAATACATTGAAAGATATAAAAACAAATAAAAATTATACTTTAGGCCGAATGGAATTCTTTCAGATAAACGACGCTCTACTGTACATCTTACAATTATTCTTCTATAAATTAAGTGATAATTTTTGCTAGTATACTTAGAAAAGCATTTTATCTCTTCATTTCCAAATTATTTGATATTGTTTTTGTTTCATTTGGATAAAAAAAATTATAGTTTTATTTTGTTGTTCTTATCAGGGAAATTTTAAAATTCTATAAAATTTTTCCAACCATAGATCCTAAAGATAACATATAAAGTTTGCAATAATACTGTAAATTTAATCCGAGTTTACACCTCATTTATAGTAGTAGTTGTTAATAACTGATGCAAAATTATTCAAGAATAAAGTAAAACACTTAAAGCAACTGCTTGAAAAATATTTTGCAGTTATCCTATTTTATACATGTACAGTACAATACTTGATTATCATTAGATCAGATTTTTGGAACTTATGCTAGCAAAGCCACTATTTTATAATAGTTCTCAATATGAAAGTAACTTTCTTTTAATCTTGTAAGCTCAATCAATTTTATAATATTACATCAATTTGTTAAACTAGATAAAATGATCATTTAATTTTTTTAATAATAATTTGAAATAAGAAGCCAAAATAATAGCTAAATCCAAATGCTTTAAGCAAAAATTTAAACATAGATTCAATAACAACCCTTTTTTTAAATCAAGAAACTCAATAAAATTACACAAACAGGCCTCAATGGAGGATATAAAAGATTGGAAGATATTTCAACTTAGATCATGTTTTGTATAGCATATAAACTTACAGTTGAAAATTGTCATCTTTATTCAGAACTTTGGCATCTTTCATCTCTTCTAACAGTTTTAACTTCTTCAATTAGGCTAAAAGGGTAACATATTGAAAATAAATGGCTTTTAAACACAGATTAATATGTAGTCAAATTATTTTTATAACAAAAAATATTAAAAAATTAATACTTTTACTGTTTGTATACAAAACAAATTTTTATTGAAAATTCTGTACTACAGGTATTAAGAGGTTCTTTGATTATAGTATATTCAACATCCAGTTAAAAAGTTTTTCTGATCAAGAATTAAAAATTAGATAACAGCATATATCAGGAGTAGCCGCATGTGGCTCACGAG